TTTAAAAATAAATGTTGTATTTAACAAAAAATAGTGGACCACTATGTACAATGGTAAGACTACTTCTTGCTTCCTCCAACATTCTTTAACAGATTCGTAACGTCCTAATCTTTTACAATTTCATTCTCAAATTTAAATTGGTTAAATGCGATCTCCGTAAATAAAGTGGCGTAAAATGGCAAGATTGACTTCTTTCTGACGAGGCATCTGGTAGGTGGATTACGCAAATGGGTATCATTAATGATGCCGTTTAGAACTCTGTTCTGGCGTAGCGCGGGGGTGTTCGATTTTCGCGATGATATCATATTTCGAGACGATTTTTCTTCTGCGCCTGCAAGTGTAATCCGATTTCACGGTTTACATTCACATACTTTACCGTTTCGGCGGCAGACTGTGTTTTTAAACACACATCGGTCGAGGGGACGAGCTATTTTGCACCACTGTGAAAAAAGAGGAATTTTCTGAACGTTGCACAACACTAATGTCGATTGTATAAGCTTGGAAACTTTCTAAAAAAAAAGGCAAAATTCTAAAGCTTCCCGAAATACATCATGAAATTTTCTATAAAATACTCTTTATCCCGTAATCCAATTGAATAAAACTTATAGTTAGATTTAGATTTTGTTTGTATAATCTCAGTGTAGTTATCTGTTAAATAAACGTCTTTTATTTGTCTTTGCACCATTTCGCAAAAATACCGGTAGATAAATGTAGTTCAAAAGTTCAAAAGACTTTTTATTTGTTATCTCTAACTCAAATGGAATTATATTTACATTTACTTTTATATTTGTAGTTTCAGTCTGAGGTTTGTACCTACAGTTTGTTTTCGTATCTTATTACAAATATTATAGATAATCATTTTACAATAGTTTAAGTTTCTCCAACCTTACTTTTCCCTATTTCAAGTGAAAGAAAATTATATACAATCTTTAGTTTTTATAGTTTCCATTTAACGTTTGTTGTCATATCTTACGTCTTATTGAAGATATCGCTAACTATTCTACGGTAGTTCGAGTTTCTTTTTCCCTATTTCATTTGAAAGAAAACTACATGCAGCCTTTTGTTTTCATAGTTCCAGTTTAATATTTACCTTCGCATCATCTTACCTAAAGTATCGATAACCATTCGGTTCGATTTTTCCTCCTATGAATTCCCAGTACTTCACCTTGCAGGCGTAAGCCTTTACTTCAGATTCAACGTGACCTCGTTAAATTACCTAGTGTTTTTCCTTGAGATTTATTCCAATCTACATAATGTTCTTTTAATCGTTTTTTTAACACTAGGTTTACGGAAATTTATTGCAGAATTTATTGTTCCTAGAAAAATTGACGTTCGTTCGCTTAATTCTTGGAATTAAAGATCAAAAAATAGATAATTGCAATAACTCAAATTGATATATTTTCTGAAAATTTAAATAGCTTGAAAAAGTCTCTTAAAAACTATTTGCTAGGAGAAATTTCAAATTTACTTCTTCATTTTTTATTACTTTTTTATCGATTATATTGTAAAATTCTTGCTTTGTAAACTCCTTACAGTTCATTTATGTCTTTTCCTTTTCTATGCTAAAGGGTATCCGGCCATCTGATGAATAAATAAGTAAGCAAATATTTGTGCAGGTGCATTTATCAAAATCTATGTAAACATTCAACAAATAATATTTATAAGATTCAATATGGGTCAAATTGCATTTTGTAAATGTAATGTTAGGAGTTATTATAGATATTTTTTCAAACATACTTGTACAAGATTTGCTATTTTTCTTATTAAGTCTGACATAAAAAACAGAGAATGTAAGTTGGGCATAAATAGGTGTAAAGTTGAATGAAGTCTAAAAATTTTAGTCAAAATAGACCAAAGTATCACCGTTCCAGGGTTAATAGTTAATTTCGAATTCATCATTCATACTGGTCGACTATATTTTAGTGAAGAAAGCGGAAAATCAGACACAGAATCTGTTACATCTCTCGTACGTAGTATGTTCAATTGAGCTTCGATCAATCGTCAGCGAAAGCCAGCCGATTTCACATAAATCATTCGTTACGTCTTCTGCAATTTATCGTCACGCGTTCATAGTATACGATGCTCGTTATCCCAATATGGTGCAGTACAGGTGCGCGATATCTCTCCTTATCTTGCCTCATCTCAGTCCGTTTTACCGTCGTTTTTATGGTCGTGGATAAAGTGTTATTTAAATCTTTTCCGACTTGTACTTGATATAATACAGTGTGTTCCAGCAATCGCAATGTAATCGAAAAATCGTAGCTTTTTACGTGAAAATAAAATAAACGGAAATACGTAAAATTCAATTCCATGCGATATTATCGTTTTTAAATAATCATTTTTGCAAAACCATCGGACATGTGTGTCATTAAACAGGAGTAAGCAAACGTTTTCATTCATGATTCATTGTTTCCACTCATTGCAACCGCAAACCGACTTGTTGATTTTCTTAGAAATAATTTTACTTCACACGTTTTATTTCTTTTTCTTTAAAGAATCGTTTGCTTTGAATGTTGGCGTATGCACATCTACTTAAAGACTGTGTTAAAGAAGGACACTTGTTTGAAGCAGCTACAAATTAGTTATTTGAGACTTTCAATAATTTTCGAAAATAGAGAAATATATATAACTAAGTTTTTTTGTATTTTATGTGTTTCTATAAGGTTTGGAAGGAATTTGTAAATCCTTGAACGTGTCGGTGATAATATATAATGTAACGTTCAGTCGTACTTGATTCGTAAAGATGGAGGAACGTAAGAAATTCCAATAACCCGTTCTCTACGTAGGACAGTGTATTATAAAATCACCAAATTTCAAAACTAATACCATAATTGTGACATATTTTTACTTTCCGATGGAAGACAAGTACTGAAAATTTATTTCTTTTATGTTATATGCAGTACTCTTAACACTAGAATCAACAGATGGATCAAAATGATCTATTCTGATTTTCTTTAATTATAGTTATTGAAAAGACACAAAAATGATTAAAATAACTAAAATATAAGTCAATTGATTATTTGATGATTAAATTTCTATAAAAAATGAAAAAAGGTTCATTTAATTATTCATAATTCTAGTGTTAACTAATATTGAAATGACAAATATCTTTTTTTTTCTTCAGTGACAAGGTATCTGTAGAAAAGAAAATACTTTTTTGAAGGTCATGCTCTTTGAACTTCAGTTATCATAAAAACTGCATAAAAACTTTAATTGTATATACCGAACAGATATATTCTTCTTGGGCATATGTCAACTTTATTATTAGCTTTGTACGATTAAAATAACTTGTTTTATATACCTACTTATCTTATTTTCAAAGTGTATGAGTTCTTTGTACAAAGTCTCTGAGTTTACGTTATGTACGTATTGATATCTTTCCCTGAAGAACGTACTCCGTATTATTTCGAATTCATCGAAATTTCGAATATTCCAATTCGAAATTGCGTATACACATTAATCAATGAAATTAAACAAAAATTCCTTTTTTGAAATATAATTTTGTAAAATAACTTCGTTAATTGTGTGTATATTCAGCTATGCCTCTTTTAAAATAATACCTCAAGCAATCTCAAACAATCAACTCGGTACAGTGAAAATATTAATAACTTAAACCAATTTTGAACAATTGCTTTTTTACTATTATAATTTTTTAACTATTACATACTTTGTTACTTCTTTCCTCTATATAATTCATAAATAACTGCTAAATAGCAATTTCAATTTTTTTATTTCCAATAGCGACCGATTTTTACTTCTTTTCAAATTCGCAACACACCATAACAGTTTCGCAGCGACATTTCCAGACGCCACTCCCGGTCCGACCGGCAATCCACTCGTTCCACTTTTCAGGAGAGCTAATAGAGGCTCATTCCACTGTTACTTCGCGAACTTGTCGTCGACCAGCCGACGGTTTCGAAATTTTTGGGAGACTTCTCGCGAAATGATCGTTTCTGTTTAGTTAACCCATTTGTCATGTATTATACTATTCTGAGAGCACGCGATTCCTGTTGGCAGCCAACAATTCCGAATCGCGATCTCTTCCGTTCTAAGCTCACGTGAATGAGAGTAGCTGATTTCGTGCACGAAATTCAGGTATCTTCTGATCCGAAAGAATATTCCACGACTAATTACCACGGCGCGTACCAAACACGCACGCGAAAGGCGTGTAACATGTATGTTGTATAATCACATTGCCTCTCTAATTATCTCTGGTAAACCAGCGAATCCAAACAAGGCAAAAATTATTTTTAAACGCCAGTGTGCGGAGCGAGTGTTGGCACTCGTGTGTATGCGAAGAAACAGTTACGTTCTGAGCAATTTCTTTTATTTACTTGATCTCGTTCACGCGGCCCATTATGTGTACTTCTTTAATCACGTATCACGAACAAAGGAAGGTACTATACATCGGAAATAATTTTTCTGTAAATCCATAAGGAACAGCGTTATTTTTGTATCCATCGTGTGTAAAAATTTCACTTTTGTTTACCTGATATGATTCACGTGCCACATTATGTACGTATTTATAATTATAAATTATAAATAAAAGAGATTGCTATAATCAAAATTATTTTCTCATGGATCAATTAGGCACTGGAAAAAATTCGGTTTTTTTGTTAGCAATGAATTGTGGTCCGATTTCAATCAGTATTTCACTAGTTTAATGAATGAAATTAAATTTTTATTTAAGAACCTGTACGAACTTTTTACAGTACCTAATATAAATGCTATAATCTTGTGATCCGCAGTATGTAAAAGTTTCACTTTTATTTATTTCAATAATTCTTCCTGAAAATGAAAGTTTGTAATAAAAGCTTGTAATCGATTCATGATTACATGTGAATGTACAAAAAGTATGACAGATTACTGATGAGTATTAGCTGCATTCGCCATTGATAAATCTTCGGCGAAAGCATAACAAAGTGACACCGTTGAAAAGAAAAACATAATGGAGTTGAACAAAAAGATTTGATAAACTCAGAAAAAATTGTATAACCGACCTTGACGATATGTTAAGAGCAGCCCAAGGTGTTGCAGTTTTTCCAGTGAAGTTCGTCGAGTTCTCCAGGTGTTCGCCGGCCCTGTCACAAGCTCTGCTGTAGCAAATTCCGGGAGAAGCGAACGTAAGAGTCACCGAACGACAACTGTCGAGGCTCCCGAGCATAGAAAACAGCTGGTCTCACATAGGGATCTAACTGCGTCTGTTCTGGTACTCTGGTAGTGGGCACCAGAGTAGGGATATCACGGTTAAAGCGAACGACGATCTCCAGGTAACAGCATTGTCTCGAATCCGCAGTCGTACAAGGCACTAGTGATTCTTGTTTTGACAGTACGTGTTCTGCTACGATCATCAGACACACTGATTTTATTTCTGTATCTTGTAGAGTGGAAGACAAGGCAGTACAATAAACTTCATAAGTTTACAAGACAGTACAATAATTTTAAATCAAAATTTAAACGCAGAACGTTTTTGTAAAATAATTTTATCTTATTTAATACTAACGGCATAAATATAACTCGCAGCTAATAGTAATTTCATTCATTAAATTAGTAAGATACTGGTTGAAATCGGACCACAATGCATTACTATCGAGAAAACCGGATGAACTTTCATTGGTACATACTAGTAGCTCATAGACAAGTAACTTTATTTTAATAGTGGATTTATAGATGTCTGTTTGTCTTGTATATTTGTTATTGTATTGTTCCTAGAAAAATGGGTGTTCATTCATAAGGACGTTGGAAATTAGATTTACGGAATCCGTCAATTTGGATATTAAATTTCATAAACATTATTGATAAAAATTTCTATCAAATTTTCGCAATTATACGAATACATATTCTAGTCCTTTGTTTCTAAATTTCTAATTTCTAAGATCTATATCAATGAACATCTATGTTTCTAGAAACAATGTTTTATTGTATTCATATTATGTGTATGTTTTATATAAGTAAATATTTAGAGAGGTAGTTCAGTGAATTTAAAAAAAAATAATATATTTTTCTGAGTAAATTAAGTAGTGTTCAGAAGATCGTTATATTAAAATTTTGTACATTGAATTGCATAAAAATTGGTGTCCAATTATGCGAAAAAATGATCTGTACTTCGAATGTAATTTACGTGAGTTTATGTATTTGTGTAACAAAAGATATGACTAAAGACATGATTTTTGTTATACTTTATTAAACATTTTATTTCTATAATTCTAGCAGATTAGTACGTACTGTAACTATGTTAAAATATTCATTTAAATGGTTAATAATGTTATGTGAAGATTTTTAAGTCACGAAGTAAAAATTAGAACTTATTTCGTGAATTTTCGAGATCTTTAAATTTGAATAATACTTTTCGGCCGTATTTAGTGCTAATTGCGATAAAAATAAAAACGAGTCTGTTAACAGGTTACTGTTTGCTGGAAGAGTTAAATACGTTTGAACTAGAAACGTAGTTTGTACAGCTTCTGCTTCGTCGTGTCTAACTACAACCTTCTTCTAAATTTTAATCTAATTTTTTTTAAACAATTAGTGTATTTTCACCTCGTGTCATAATCGAAGAACAAATTGGTTTCTTAATCTGTGATCAATAAAGTATATTATGAAATTATTTATTATTCAATGATTTAAATTACTTCAATTAATATAAAGATTGCATCTTAACAATTGTCTTTGAGTTTGTATGTTAAATTCCTGAAATTGCAGGAAACTGAAATTGTTGCAACTACTTGTTGCAAGATATAAAATAAAAAACCAATACAACTTAAAGGAATGGAAAATATTAATTTAACAGTTGTATTAAACAATAAAAATTGACGTTTAATGACTAAGTTGATTCGAAAATACAATTTATAAGTAATAATTTGTAACTGATTTTAACTAAATATTGCATTGAATTATTTAATTACTTCAGAAATTTCTGTAATTCTCAATTCTAATATGGATGAAAGTGATTTAAGTTCAACTACTCAATCGAATCAATGGTAAACATGTTTTGACATATTCTGTAAGAGGGGAGATATATCTGCCTTTCCACGATTTTCTTTCCTTTCTTATTGCGTTATTTGTAATATCACACACTGACTATAAACAACTCTACGATAATTAAACGCAATGAGAAGGAAAACAATGGTCCTTCATGGATCTATCAAGAAGTAAGTCCACGTTTTTATAGTACGAGGAATTACGAAACAGTTGGTGCATACGCAGTGAACTAACGGAATTATCTACATAAACTATTAAACATGAGAGCAAAAGCGATATTTTCAAACAAAATGCTCAGATATTAGTATAAACGTTATTTTGTAATAACACATACATAATACAATTTTTTATTATTCAACAATCAAATTAGCTGAATATAAAAGCTATTTATTAACAGCGTGAAATATTGATTTTTATGCAACGTGTTATATGAAAAACAATTGTTTGCGAATTTATTGTGAAGTTGTATATGTTTTGAATTACAGTAACAGATATTTTAATAATACTCTTATAAAAATAAGTAAATTACTTCATTAACGATGAAAGTCTAAAATGCTGTTATGAATTTTATAAAATTATTCTATTTACATTTTGTTATTTTGATTATTTTTATGAATTCTGGTTGTTGTGGTGTTTCATATTAACTTCTATTTTAAGTTGTACTTCGTTTAAACGGACTATTTATTTTCTTATCTGTGGGTTAATTCACTTTTCCTGCCAGGAAAACGGAAACGTGCGTTGCTAATCAATTTCCATACAAAATATGTGATTCAGAGCATTACGAGTTCTTTACTCACGTCTTCGTAGAAGGAGGTACGTTTAAAATCATCAAATGATTGATGAATTTTATTTGCATTCTATTTGAACAATTGAATCGGCAAATGGAATTTTCTGGAGACAACGTGAAGACTTCATGAAGGTCATTTAAATTGAAATGATGCATGGACATTATGAAATAGTGGCAAATTATTTCATTAAGTAATTATTGAGTCTCGTAAAAGATACAATTAGTATTCTTGATTGATGTTCAAGACATGTTCCATTAAGCTTTCGACTTAGCCTCGACTTCCATCTCTCCTAGAAATCATAGAAATGAAAATTGACTTCTAAAACAACTTTAAAGCGTGAATTCATTTATAAATCATTTTATTTCGTAAAGTTCAATGAAAAAGTAATAATAAATTTGGAAATATAAAAAATGTTAAGATGTTCGAGTCATTTCAAAATTTGAAAGTAACTGAATTGGCTGGAACTACTTACAAGAAATAATTACAAAAATACTAGAGATACTAAACGAAAAGGTTGAATTGTAAAAAAAGACACCTCTTTATTCAAGTTTCTGATACTCAATGATAAATTATTGTATTTTATATTTTTATTTACTTTTTTTAATTAACATAATGTTTGATTCAGAATTTAATTACAAACTTTGAATTACAATTGTACTTTATGCATTTTATACTATGTTGCCGCTTACTTTTATTGCTGATAAATTACTTAGAAAAATTAATTGAATTTTCAATGATTTATAACTTTTGTTGCAATATATAAACTGATTACGCTTGTATCAACAAGTTTTCATTATTTTAGTATTAATATTAATTGGTAATTTTCAAATTCCTATACTTAACGGTTAAATTCATGACCATGCATAACCTGTTAGGTGCGAGATTTAGTTTCAAAAGTCTTTCATTGTGCATGCAATAAAATCAAACAATGAAATGTATAATGGTCAAACGCAACTCAAATGTATCCAAAATATATTCTAACGGAAAATTAAAGCAAAACAAAGAAGAATTACACGTTTATCTGAAAAAATAAATGATTCATGTTTGAAAGAATTAGTAAAGGTTAAACACGATGCAAATAATTTGAGTTATAGAGCATTTATGTTCTGAATCGTAAAGGTTTTTATAGCAGAGAGAATGGTAGAAGTTTTTCGAGTTCTCAAGGTTCAATTGTATAATGAAGTTTAAACTTTCTTATCATTTTTAACGTATAACTGTAGTTCATTAGAAATTTCAGTTCGCATGGACGTCCGCTCTATAATCGGCAATCTCAGGTGAAGTGGAAAATGGTTACTTCCCTCGGTGAGCACTTAAACAAAACATTCTCCGTATCTAATTTGTACGCAACAATACTTTCCTGCCTTCAGTCTTCTTAGATTGACAAGCTGCACTCTTTACCCCCTTATTTGTCCAGCATTCTTTCGTGACATCCAATCGGACGTGCAGGATCACAGCCTGAAAATTTAACGGTTTACATGGAAGCGTGCATAGGCCGCATCTTCTGCTATGCGAACAATGCCGACCATGAACACAGTCTTGCATAACATTTGCAGGGAAGGAACCGTTAACAATCACCGTCGTTCAATTGTCAGCCATTACATTACGTCCACAGGAAATTTCAAGCCACCTAGATTTCTCTGATGAAAACTCATTTTTTTTACACTAAAACTAGCGAGTAGTTAAATTGACTTTTTGAAATTTCTTTATAGAAACTCCAAAAGTGCATCTATTGTGACTTTAATTGATTTATAATTAAATTTACGTATTACTATATCCAGTTTTATAATAATATCGCAAAGAAAATTGGTAAATTTCAAATAAAATTGTCTCGCACAAATGTTTTCTTCGAAAATGGAGTAAGTTCATTTGTAGCTGAAAAATTGTTTATTTTCTTTAACAATTTTATTAATTATTATTGCATAATAAAATTTAACAAGTTTATGGTTTTATAAACAGTATTTAGTGTTAGAATTTTTAGGTTGCTTAGTAATCTAATTACTTACGATATCATTCTTATTCAACGTCGATCATCTTAATACTAGGTTTACGTAACGCGTCAAAGTGACGCATATTAGATTTTAGAAATATTATTTTGTAAATGTTTACGCCGATTTTGATTGATGCGATCACACTGACATGTACCACAATTACCTACTATCAAATCTCCAGTTTCCATAATCTAAATAAACGAGCATCAATTCTTTTAGGAATAATAGAATGAAGTGTACAATAAATGCCCGTAAACCTAGTGTTAAATACAAGTGGCAGTCAACGTGTTAACAAAAATTGTGATAAAGGTTTGTATAATACTAGCCTCGACAATTATATTTTAAATTATCTAAATTAATTAATCGTCTATAATCCTCGATCAGCTGGTTAATACCATTTTCATAGAAATCTTAGTCTTTTGAAAGTAAATGTTTCCATTTGAATGTAATA